TGTAACCTTCATCTTCCTCTTCACCCTCCTCTTCATCACCGCACTCCTCCTCCCTGAAGAAGAGCGGCTCGAAGTTCTCCTTCTGAGGGTCCGCACCTGAAACACACACACACACACACACACACACACACACACACACACACACACACACACACACACACACACACACCACACACACACACACACACACACACACACACACACACACACCACACACACACACACACACACACACACACACATTACACAATGATTACACAACAACACGAGATCATACAATAAAAAATATAAGGAAATGATAATGAAGATAGTTCTAGTCTGTCAGGGCTGCACCAAACAGTTATTCATTTTTGACATTGCAGTATTTTCACATACAATTGAGTGAGAACTGTGATGTTTTTTAGGGAAACATATTGAATAAAGTCATGTGTTATGCATGTATCTGCAGTGTGTTTATGTTATAGCACAGAGCAGAACATTTAAAGTCTTTATGGTTTTTTTTTTAGGGCGACAACAGCTCACAAATCTGTCTCTTTAATGCTAAGCTAAGCTATCCATGTCCTGTGTGCGTGTGCGTGTGTGCGTGTGTGTGTGTGTGTGTGTGTGTGTGTGTGGTGTGTGTGGTGTGTGTGTGTGTGTGTGTGTGTGTGTGTGTGTGTGTCCTACCTGCAGCCATCAGCAGAGCGGTCAGTTTGAGAGAGCCTCGTCCTGCAGCGATGTGGAGCGATGTGGAGCCGTTGAAAGTGGAGCAGTCCACCTTTGCGTTTCCCTGAAGACACAAGAAGTATAAAACGAATGTGCAAATTTACAAACCAATTCCACAATGAAAAAAAAAGCTTTGAATACATCGAATTCCCAGTTCTCCCAGTTTGAATGTGTGTTTGGTGGCGTGATCATTATTATTTAGAGTCATTGCGTGCCTATTGATTTGAACACGATCCGTGTATCCATCATTTCCTGGTCTTCTCTAAAGAAGAGGGACCAATGGAAACGTTGTCATGTTGCCGTTGTTCAGCATGGAAACATTCATTAGCTAACAATGACATTATTGTTCTATTAATATAAAGGGAGGTCAGGTACTCTTTAAAACAGCTGCTAGTTATGGGTACTTTTTACTGAAGTACATTTCAAAGCCCTCTTTACTTTCACTTGAGTAAAGAAGTTTAGTCAGTACTTCTACTTTTACCAGAGCATTTTTAAACACCAGCATCTGTACTTCTACTTGAGTAAAGGATGTACTCTCAGAGCTCTCAGTACCTCCAGCAGCAGGCAGCCGGCCAGCGACACGTTGTCGGCCTCGGTGCTGAGATGCAGCGCGGAGCGGCCGCTGCTTCGCTCCCGAACCTCCACGTCGGCCCCGCCCTCCAGCAGCTCCCGCAGAGAAGGCAGCTGATTGGCCAGGACCGCCAGGTGGATCGCACACAAACCTGTAACCACGGCAACTATTAAACACCTGAACTTTTGTAAAAAAAATGTTTTCAAATTTTGACAGGAAAGTCGAATTGTGAGTGTGTGTGTGTGTGTGTGTGTGTGTGTGTGTGTGTGTGTGTGTGTGTGTGTGTGTGTGTGTGTGTGTGTACCTGCTGTATTGCAGAGCTGCATTCCCCCCCTCACGTCTCCTCTCTTCAGGAGGATCTGAATAAGCTCCGCCCCCCCCTCCAGCCCGGCAGCCAGGTGGAGCGCTGTGTTGCCGTGACGATCCGTGAGAGTCGGGTCGGCGCCGGCCAATAGGAGCGCTTCGACCGCCTTCCTCTGATGCGTTATCACCGCCAGGTGCAAAGCAGTCTGGGAAAGTAGGAGGAAGAGGATGCTTTTATAGACTGTGAACATTTATTGTAATTACCAGTTATTGATTTTCGATTATTGCAGAAAATGATCTATGTCAAACAAACGTCAGAATTGTTAGGAAAAAGTCAAATTTGGGGGAAAAAGTGATAGTGAGAAAAAAGTGAAATTCTAGTAAAAAAGTCAAATTGTGAGAAAAAAGTCAAATTGAGGAAAAGTCAATTTCTGAAAAAAATAAATGAAATTCTGAGAAAAAGTGAAATTCTGAGGAAAACGTCAAATTGTCAGAAAGAAGTCAAATTCTGAGGAAAAAAATCACATTCTGAGGTACAGAAAAAAGTACCTGGTAGAGGTGGTTCCTCATGTTGAGAACCTCCGGTCCGGGTAGAGCAGAGACGACCTGAGTCAGACTCTGCAGCGCCCCCTGCTGGCTGTGGAGGACCGCCAGGTGGAGACCACTGAGGAGAGGAACATTAAGGAATATTAACACATCTGTTAGTGCCATCGTGAGGAGAGAAGAGGCGTGTTCACACCGGAGTACTTTTCCCCGTACTTTTCCCGTTCACACCAAAAAGAGTACTTACGGCCCGTCCACACAGCAGCGTTAAAAAATCTTGGAACGCTTCTGCCCATTGACTTTGAATGGGGTGACGTCACTTTGCCTTACTTTTCGCCGAACTGCATTGTGGGAAGCAGAGCGGAGATTTTCAGGATT